GGACCTGGTTCTCTTCTATATTTGGTTGCAGGTGGACACCTCCCCCAAATGTGGCAAGCATTTTTGACCCAAGCTTTTTCAGGCAATCGAAGAGATGTGGAAGATTAATGTGGAGAGCCACAACAGCAGCTATCTTATGGTCAGTTTGGGAAGAAAGGAATAGAATCTTTAAAGGAGTGGAGAAATCCAAGGAGGTAGTTGTAGAAAGGATAATCATTATGACTATTCAATGGTTGAAAACTTTGGATTTGTTTAAAGACTTCTCGGCTGAAGACATTTACAGGAATTGGGAAGTGGTGGCATCTACAACTTCCATAAAACCTATTGTGCAGGAATTGTTGTCCCCACCAACACAACAAGGAGTGAAATTGAACTTCGACAGGAGTTCTACAAGTAACCCGGGCCCTTCAGGTATAGGAGGAGTATTCAGAGATGAAAATGGCAGAATTGTGGCTATGTTTTCAGGACCAATAGGAGTGGGGGACTCATTGAGAGCGGAGGTGATGGCCTTGCTTCAAGGTGTAAGCTATGCCAAACAATTGGGGTTACACCAAATTGAGATAGAGGGAGACTCTAAATTGTTGATTGAGTGGCCGGAATCTGAAATATTGGGAGCCTAGATTTATAGACAGCCCATAAGGGAAATCCTCAACACAACAAGGGAGATCAGTGCATGCTTCAAATGGACAAGGAGATCAGCTAATGGTTTAGCTGACACGTTGGCTAAACAAGGGACTGAGGGAGAGAATGTTCTGGGCAGTTTTGTAAGAAAGATTACTGAGGCTCAACACCTGTTTAGGGGTTGACAGCTGTACTTAACTCTGGAAAGTTATTCTTAAATTGTATTAATGAAGTTACCGCTTCCAATCAAAAAAAAAAAACAATTAGGAGAGGCTAGCCAAATCCTATTATCCTCAAAATCTTGATCCAAGATCATTGTCTCCAAAAGAYTCAGCAAGTGTATAAGAGAGGCATATTCACCTTTAAGGTTTGAAAGGGCATAAAGCTTGGGGAACTGTGTTTTGAGTGGAGATTCCCCAAGCCAAAGGTCTTCCCAAAAGTGAACTTTATCACCCCTTCCCACATCAAAATGGATGGAATTGAGAAAAGTTGGGTATACCTCATGAATAGCTTTTCAAGGGGAAGCTGAAGTTGAAAGGGAGGAAACCCTGAAAATATACAGATTTTCTAGCCAAGAAGACAATAGCTCCACACAAAAATTAATCACAGCTTTAACACAGATCTTTTGTTCAAAAATACATATACTTCTCCATCCAAATTGCCCACAGAACAATGTGAGGGATATAGTTCCACAGTCCACACCACTAACCCTTTTTTGCTCAAACCACTTATAAACCAACTCCTTAACAAAAGTTCAACAATTCTTGCCCCTTGGCTGCAACATACATCAGTGACTTCTCCCTGGAGGGTGAAACTGTTCCCCAAATGGATTTATAAGAAAAGTCGCCTTGCCCCCTAAAGTTGAGCTGCTTCAGAAAAGATTCAACAAAGAACAGACCACTCTGTTCCCACATCCATTTTCTGCCATCTGGAACTATGATGTTAGGTTGTTGATTTTAAATCAATAGCAGCAACTTATCCAGCTGTTCCACTTCCCATTAACAATTTCCATGAAATCTACAACCATACCATTGTGAGAGAAACCAAGAACAAGGCCGGAAATAGGTCTTTGAGAGGGATATTATAGCACCAAATGTCACTCCAAAAGTTCACCTTTCTGCCATCACCCACCTTGTACCCAACTCCTTTTATATAATGAGGATAGGCTTTATATGTACCCCTCACTGAGCATCTATAAGGTTGTATTGAGTCGTGGACATCCCAACCACTTTTGCATAAAATATTTTGCTTCAATAATTTTTCCTCCAAAGACTTTCAGGTTCCATAGAGAAACACTAAAACCAGCTACTTAGCAAGGAGATATTGGCGACTAAATTTTCAATACCTAAACCACCATGACTCATAGGAGCACACACTTCCCCCAATCCACTTGGTGAAATTTGATCAACTCCTTCCAGCCTCCCCCCCCCCATCCCCCAGACTTCTCACATGGCCTCCTGATGATATTAAAGTTACTCCCAGTGACCTAGAGACCCGACCACTTACTCCTAACCTCATCTAGCTCTTCCCATAGTGCCAGCCTAAGAAAATCCTCATTAGGCTCATACACTATTGTTATTGAGAATTCCACATTCTCTCAAAGGATACCCAATATAGCTAAAATAGAGAACTTGTAATAGCTGTTATCCCACAGACTTGCAATCCCCATTCTATGAGCATAGACATGCAAAATACCATCATCAGGTACAAGAAGACACGAGAAATAGGCATTTTAGTAACTTCAGCAGTGTGAAACAGCAACCTTTTTTCTTTTGTTCATGTTTTAAGAGCAAAAAAGGGTCAATACAGCAGCAGGTGACCAAATATATTCAAGAGACGCATGTGGGACTAGGAATGGTGTGTGCCCTTGTACCAAATCCCCGCATGATTCTCCTTGTAGCAGATTAAGTTGACACGGCATAACTAACATGCCACATCCTGACAAACAGATACTTTAATAATCAAACTTTTGTCATGATTTTCAAAACCACTCTATTACTCAAATAATGGCAAAATAATAAATAAGTGATCCAAAAAACTTCCAAGTCAAGAACTTCCAAAGAAACTATAAATAAGGGATCAAATCCCAAGGATAGAAAGAAGAATATCAGCTCAAACCCCAGTTCAGAACATTCCAGACTTAACCACTTTCAGGAGCACTAGTGCACTCATCCCCATTCCACCATTACTGAGGAAGATTCAACTCTTCCTCACTCAGCCTCAGCTGAACTGCAAACTCAGCTTCTCAGATCACCAAATGAGGATATCTCAGCTCGCCCCTCAGTCTCAGTCTCATTACTACCCCAACTTTCAGAATCCAAAACCAACCAAACCATCACCATGTCCTTGCCCTTACACCCACAACTTTGTTGACCATTTGTATATAAATCCAGTTACAACTATTGAATCTCCAAATACTTCTGATACATCTCCACATTAACTGTTCCAGCTTAGTTTCTTGGGGCAACAGAAAATCAGGTTTCCCATTTACTTAAAATAGCACTGGCCACCACCCTTCTTCTCCCTGAGCCAAACACCTAATGTTCCATGAAATAATCTTTAGACTTGTCATGAAATAACTGAGTTATATTCTGCTATCCCTGCCTTCGCTAGCATTGTACCCTGCATTATCTTTAAAACCCACCATGCCAATCTGAACAACTCTTTCAACTATCTCCTGTTCTACCTTTTTCCATCAAGACCCTTTGTTCAGTAGCCACCAAGAGGGCCTTAGTCTCTACTTCTAAGCCCATAAAGGGCGCCCCTCGGAACTCCCTAGAAGTCAATAATTACAATAACAACTAGTTATATGCCCCCTCACCCTTTTGGGCGGATGCCAGAGTCACATCCGAAGACATCTACACATTAAGATCACAGCTGGCGTCCATTACCATTGTTCAGGGAATTAACAAGTAAGGTTGGAAAAGGTTCTACATCTGCAACTTCAACCTCCGTAGTGCCCTCCAACCCTTCCTCAAAAACCGCCAAATCAAAACCATTTCCCACCAATTCCAGAGGAGTACCACTTCCACTACTGGTATCAACTCCTTATGCTCCATAGATACAGGATGGTCAACCAGTGGCCCAATGCCTTGTGGGGTTGTGATCCCCTGATAGTTGCTATACTACCTAGCATAACAGAACCAAGAACATAAAGGCTGACTGGCATTTTACAAGGGAGAAGGTTACTTATGGAGAAGTATGTATCCCTTTTGCAAAACCAAAAGGCCAACTAGCAGATGTTTTCACAAAAGAAATGCCTAACCAAAGTTGGGCATGCTTAACATCTATGCTCAACTCGAAGGGTAGTGTTCGAGTTATTTAGGTTATGTTTGACATTCAAATTTAGCTTTGTATGTGGGCATTATTGTCATTATACTTTTATATTATAAACAATTAAATACTAGTGAGTGGACTGGCTGCCCACTGATTCTTTTTGTTCTCTAGGGTTTCTTTTCTCTCTTTCTGAGTTTCTCCTCCTTTATCCAACTTTAATCAAGAATTCATCAAGCAAATATACTCAAGTATTATTGATCCATTATTCTGGAAAAATACCTCCATAAAAAAATTAAAAAAAAAAAAAAAACTAGTGCTTCTGAGAATCAGAGTGGATTTAGAGAAAAAAAAAAAGAACTTAACTTGGTAGAAACCATCAGAGATATTCCTTATAGTTAGAAGATAAGAGTACCAAATCATGCTGCTCTTATTTATTTCAGCATGTAATTTTCAAAGGCAGATGCTTACTCGTGTAAGTTATGGCAACTCTCCTTTCTCTATATTTTTTGAGTCTCATTCTTTTTATGTGTTGTCATACAGGTTAATTGAAATCTAAAAATACATCAAATAGTACTCTGTAGTTTGCTCTCCTTCAAGATAACACTGAAGTTAAATATTCTCCATTTATTTTTGTATGCATCTGGTAAAATAGAAGAAACATAAAAAAGTAACAAATTCAAAAAGTATCATGCAAAGTTGGTTAGACCGTTAGAGCAGATTTGAGCTCACAAGCAATATGTAGTAGACCAACCATTCTACGATGGCCGTAACCAAGAAACCGCAGGAAAAATCAAGAGTAGATCTGATGAAAGATGAACACCTTCAAGCATAGTACAGAGCAAATACCATGTGTACCATAGTAACTCAAAGATTTAAACCAAAACCAAATCAAACCCTCACTCTATGAGTGAGGAACTACGGTTCCCATAATGTAGTGATATTCACAATGGCACAATTCAATAATATAACAAGAACACATTTTTCCAGCAATTAAGCCAGGGAATTGACATATTTAAGATATCGCATTACAAATTCCACAATCTCCATGATGTAGCACAAATCTTGAAATAAAATGATAACAAAATACGGATAACATCATTTACCAGCTAGAACAAAATAGGGCCGTCTCCGATAGCCAGCAACAGGGAGAACATCAGTGAGAAGGCCCCAAAGAGGCTTGACAATCCAAGGAATAGAAGTTATTCCGGAATAAACTTGTGCTTCAGATGGCTGTACCTTCTGAACATCCTTCATGTAATACTCCGTTCCAACACGACTCAGACTTCCACCTAACCCTTGATTGATCCCATACGTCACGACTACTCCAAATACAAAACTCCAATGCATCTCGTCGGAAAGCATCTTGAACCAATACAAAGGAACCCAGATGAAATCCCAAAACCCTTTTTCTCGTTTCGTTTTCTCGTCGGCTCCGTTGCTGAGTGAAAGGCTTTCTTCCTCCATCATTCTCTCTTTAAGTTCTAAGACAAAATACAGAAAATAACACCAACCCAATTTAAAAATACCGTTCCCTGAAATGGGTATCTCGAGTTTGATCGAAATTACTCGCAAGAACGGACACCAAATGACACAAACCCATCTCTGAGAAAACACCAAATGACACAAAGAACCAAAAAAATTCTCTACGGGAACTGAAAATTCCACTGAAAACGCATTGAAAACATTCGGAATCTGCAATTAACCGATGAAAATTTAAAATATCCATTCCATGGGTAAGGTGCAAAACAAAACAAACTGGTTTCAGAGATTTCCGACCGGGCGAAAAAGGTCAAAGAAGGTGGGGTTGCAGCGTTGCAGACAGCAGACACAGTAGATTCAGCCACCTAACCTTAACATTTTCATCTTTTACACCCGATCTCGAATATTTTGACAGTGGGATCAGTATCTGGCTGTGAGTTCATTGAAGGACACGTGGCGCACTTCAATTGGATCCCTCAACTTGGGACAGTTGGGATATTATTTCTCAAAGCTTAGTGGAGTGGGAGTGTGGAGAGCTGTCTCCAAAAACAAAAAGTATTAAGTAAACATGTTTTTTATGTCCAATTATTTATTTTATAATACTTTTTGGCAAGGTATTTATGTTATAACCCACGTTCAGAGAACCCGATTGGGTATAGAACCGGAGAGGTTCACGGGTGATAGGTTCGACCAATCGAATTGGAGGTCGAACCGTGAYAACGTGGCATGGGTCATATAAATATTATATATAATATATTTTACAATTTTTAATGTATTTAAATATGATGGATGGATGATAATTTCTTAATTTTTAAAACAAATTACTAGTGTTCAAGTCTTTTAATTTACATTTTCTTTAAAATACGTGCATAATAATGTAATATGTATAATAAATAGCCATTAATTAGCACAATTAAAGATAGGGTTGTTCATGGGTCGGGTTGGGTCGGTTTATTGTGGTTTTTCCAACCGACCCGACCTAGTCAGGTTACTTGACATAGAAACCAAAACCGACCCAGTGTTAAGCAAAACCGACCTGGTTGGTTTGAGTCGGGTTGGGTCGGTTTCGGTTCTAAGTTCATCACTGTGATAAAATCTTGCTAATTTTAAAAATAGTCATAAATTGAACATCATTTAAGCCATCTCCTATGATAAAATTTAAATGAAAAGTTAATCACAAAAGTTGTTCATTAATCACTATTCACTAATGCAAAGTTTCTTACAACCATTCAAAAACTAGGTGGCCTAATGGGCTTTGGAACTTCATGTTTGAACTAGAGTTCGGGTCGGTTCGGGTCAGTTTCGGTTTTCTTGTGTGAAAACCAAAACCGACCTGAATCATCGGTTTAGGAATTTGCACAACCCGAAACCGACCCATGCACATGAAAACCTGGCCAACTCGGGTTGGTCGGTTTGGTCGGGTTGGGCCTTCTTATGAACAGCCCTAATTTAAGAGGTGGACAAGGTTCAAAATTTCGTAATATATCGGTACGTATCAGCCGATACGTATTATTCCGAAAAGAACTCGATACATGGAATGTGTATAAATCATTTGTTCTGTTTCTTTTCGAACGTATCAATCGATACGAGCCCAGTCCACATAGTTTGGATATGTATCGTTAATCCATATTTAGTACTGAATCTATCATTAATGTTGTTTATTTAAGTCTAATTTCTCTTTCATTAATTAGCCAATTACTCCAAGGCAAATTTAAATTTTAGCGCCTAATTCAAATTCTCTCATTAATTCCTTTAATTAATGGTCCCCTATCATTAATTTCGTTTTGTTAGTGTAAAAACTTCAAATTTTAACTATAACAACATTCAAACCTTGGTCACTTAATTTTAAGTTTTAACAACCACAAGTTCGCCAATGAGCCACATATATTTATTTGCTATGATATTTTTAATTTTAAGTAAATGTTCACTTTTCTTAATGAGTGAGAAGTTTTTATTAATAAATGCTAGAATTAATTATTAAAATTTATATACTAATAAATATTAAGATTAATTATATTGGTTTTTGAAAATTAACATTCACATTTTAATTTTTTTGCTTTTTTTACATTTTATTTATTCCATCATTTTTTCAACGGTTACTAATTGTGTTCCAATATGTCACATTTTATATAAACCATTAAATTATGGTTTTTTACATTTAAATGACTTACTTATAATCATATAAAATTTGTAAATATAGTTAGTAATATATTTTTTAAGATTTATTTGAATTTTTTACCATATTTATGCGTATCTTGATTTTTTCTTCCATATCCAAAGTGTATCCCAATGCATCTCTTAAAATTGTCTTTCTGATGCACCTTGCTTTTCCGATACTTTGAACCGTTGAGGTGAATTAGTGGTAATTAAATAATCTGTAAAAATAAGAGGTTGAGTTAAATTCTTATTAACAACATTTTAAAATTTCACTTATATATGAACSCGAGGTCATAATTAAATCGGCCAGTCTGGTCCGATTTTCTAAACAACGGTTATAACCTATAATATAATACATTTAAAATAATGTGATAACCAATGAGGCAACAGTAGGGTCCTCGAAGATCACGTCCAAAAACAATCATCAATCTTTTATCTGTTGGTGGCAAGTTGAAGTGCCCAAGAAAATTAAATGGGTTTGGAATGACTGCATTAATATTTATCCTGGCAGTTCAATTTCATATTGCATTGATCTAGAAGTATGGCAATGCAAGTAGTTTGAAGACTTTGAAGTGCAAATTTTTATTTAGTTTTGCTTGATGAAGATAAAATCTAAAGCAAAGTAATAGAAAAAACAGAAATTTTACTCTTGCCATTTGCACTCCCACGTATTTGTACTGTAAATGGATTGCTATAAAAAAAAGGAATTTTTTAGAACACAACTTATCAAGGGTTGGATTTCATAAAATAATAAAAAAAAAAAGAACTTATCAAGGATTGGATCATCTATAGGTCATCCATCCTTGGTCTGGTTGAGAGAGAAAGAAATTTGGGTAATTTTTTACCACCACAATAAGAAGAATAAGGAATTCTTTTACAATACTTTAGGTAGTTTTGTGCGTATAGAAACTAATTCACTTTATAAGAGACCATGTAATAAGAAGGTGAAGTGCAGAAAAATGAAAAGAGAAAAGGATTATAAATAACTCGACATAATGTGCTATTTAATTAAAGTTAGTTTCATGAAAGTGCAAACATAATAAAAGCTTTACCTATACTACTATTAAAAGTGTGAATGATATTTAGACTTTGGAATTTTTTATTAAAAGTATCTCTACTTTTTAATTTAGTTCCTCTTTATTACAAAGGCAAAACCCATAATTTGAACTATTACTTTTATTAAATCTATTCTATTCCCTCTTATTAAGTCTCATATTTAAGGTATTAACTCGCATTCCCTCTCATTAAATACTATATTTAAGGTACACTAAACAAATGAGTTTTGTGGACTTTTTTAACTAAAACACCCCTATTAAGAATTTAGTTCCTCTTTGATTGTGGGTAGAAAATTTAATTTGAAGTACTATAATCTTATGCAACATTCAATTCTTTCTCATTAAGGTATTAATTCACATTCTCTCCTTATATATTTTATTTAAAGTATATTTGTTTCTCGTCAATAAATTCTACTAATTAAATCTAGGGAAAATTCCCGATTAGTACCCTATACTTGGGCTTAGTGCCACTTTGGTCCTTGAACTTTAAAATGCGACAATCCAATACCCGAACTTTCAAAATTTGTCAATTTAGTACCTATTGTTAACTAGCCGTTAAGTGGCATTTGAAAAAACACAAATGCCCTTCGAGTGTCATATAATTTTCTTTATCAACCATCCAAATGTTGACAAAAAATGAACAATCACAAATCCTTTTCTCTTCTATTCAAGAAAGTTGGGGTCACCTAAATGCCCACTAAAATGTGACCCCAACTTTATTGAGTAGAAGAGAAAGGATTTGGGATTGTTCATTTTTTTGTCAACATTTGGGTGGTTGATAAAGAAAATTATATGACACTCGAAAGGCATTTGTGTCTTTTCAAAATGCCACTTAACAGCTAATTAACAATAGGTACTAAATTGACATGTTTTGAAAGTTTGGGTACTGAATTGTCGTGTTTTAAAATTTAAGGACCAAAGTGGCACTAGGCCCAAAGTATAGGGTACTAATTGGGAATTTTCCCTTAAATTTATGTCAAATATTTTTAGGGGTTTTTGTTGTTTAGTTCCCTCAAAAATCTTTATAAGCTTATATAGTTGGGAATAGTGTTAAGGGGGGAATCCATCACAATTCAAGGGGGGCAGTGTAACATAGGTAGG